TCCATAACATATTTATTTTCCATAACATATTCCATGATATGAATGGACCCTATTTTGCTCAGATTTACTAATAGATATATTCAAATTGTTTCTAATTTTGTCTTTACAATATTGCTGAAGGAAATATTATCCAATTGATACTCTCATTTTTTTGCCTGTCATAGTCACAAAGATATGATGATGTAGATTAGGGATATGTGTATTTAACAATTATAAGTCATGTGTGATACTACACATGACTTAACCTAAGGGGGTGTCATTCCTTGTCCCACCTCTGAGAACACCTGTCCCTGTATCTACTTCAGCACTGGATTTTGTTCCTATTCTAAATATTTGTTGACATGAGGGTAAGAAAATATGTTAATTTACCTCCCTTACTATTAATAAGGTTGAAATCTGTACTTCTTGTTGATAATTAGCTTTTCTGTAATTTACCTCCCCCTGACTTTATTGAGATACAATCTTTATATAACATAATTTGTTTTTGTTTTTGTTTTTAAATCTCGGGACCAGTTTGGGACACATTTAGAATATGATATATAGTAAGAATATGTTGGCTCAGACAAATTCTGTTAATGAAAGTATATAAAGATCATATTACTTAGGTGATTTCCTCATCCAAGGGTGATTATAAAGAGTTAAGTCTTTTGATATTTTAGAGAAAACCAGATTTATTAACAGAGCTTCAAATATTAAGCAAGGATCTGTAATTTAATCATTCATGGCATTCCCATTGAATCAAGGCTCTAATAAAAAGACACTTATTAATATATATGTTTTCCAGTTTAGAGTAGAACAAAGATAATAAAATACTTACTGACTGAAGTATAGAACTTCTACAGCTCTTGTGTAATTTTGTTACTACTCAGATATTTGATGGATCTACCATTTTATAGTAGCTTTGACTTAAGTTCTTATTTACCCACTACACATTTACAGTTGTTTAACTGTGCTGCTGGGCCTCACTCAACCACTGTGACTGACCAGATGGTGGAAACTCACTAATACACATGATGGCTGGGAGGGTTTAGGAGTAGTGATGTTGCTAAAGAAGTCTCAATTAAGTGAGATACTTTCCTAAATTTATAAATACATGTTTATTTTATATGGTTCCTGAACAAAGACAAGATCAGGTGTAATAAAAGCCCATCAAAAGCTGACTCTGTAGAGAGAAGAGCCACTGAACTGCCAGGTATTACGCTTGCAGAGGCTGGGTGTTCTGGCTCCTTAACAGAAGCTACAGACACTGCCCTGCACTCCCAAGATGAGTTCTGCTTCCTCTGGAAAGCTGAACAGAAAAATCTGCCCAAGGGTCTATCTACTCATGTAACTAAAATTGGCTGATAGCCTGGACATCCCTAAATGCTGAAGAGAACACACACAGGCCCTGCACACAGCTCCCTCTCTTGTGCCAGACCTACCTTCCCAACAGCACCCTTCTCATTCTGGCTGTGGAAGTGCAGAAGATTCTTAAGGAACCTGAGGGCCATTTTCAACTTCAGTCTGGGTAATGCCTCTCCAGTTTCACTTGCCTTGTGTCTAAAACACAGGTAAGATGGTGCCTGTTTTTACGGTTGTTATGAAGATTAAAATAATAGTGACATGTTTAGCAAATATTTCAGGTAACTTCTTAATAAGTTGCAGCAACTGCTCCTTCAGCCTTTCCTATTGCTTCTCTGCATCTGGCCCATCAGCATTCAGCCATTCTGACGAAAAATCCAGTGCTCCCAGAAACACACAAGGCCATCATGTTGGTGTTTCTTCCTGTTGCCACTCCCTTCACAAATATCTCTGGAGACCTGACTGCAATATTGACTTCTACCTCCTATCCCTTGACTTTTTAGATGGGTAACCTTGGGGTGATCACAAGGACCCGCTCAACTTGCTGCTCTTGTTTCTCCCCATCTCAGTCTCAGTGGGGTTGGTCATAGGTGGGCCTGCCTTCTCTACCTTGATGACATTGTTCTCTGCTTATGTGTCTCCTGCCTCCCCACCTTGTCCCCTAACTCCTCCTGTGCCTGTTTGCATTCCTTGCATCACAGACCTATACCTCTTCCTTCAGATCCCCCCTCCCTGTGATTCGCATCCATTCCCATGTCTCATCTGATAATATGGCACTTGAATCCATCTCATTGTTCAAGAAATCTGGGATAGCCTTTGAAGGAAAGCAGTTTGGCTTACTTTGCAATTCTGGGCCCCAGCTGATAAGGAGGCGCCCATGGCTTTGACTGGGTCTGGCTGCCTCCACCACCATATATGGCTATAGATCCAATACCCCCTGCTTATAGGTTCTTTCCCCGTAAATAATTTTTTCATTACTCTCCACCTGCCTGGCCAGGGCATGGCCAATGGACATAGGCCACAGTACCCCCTTTTTTTTTTTTAATGTATATAAGCTCAGTTCTGAAACAAAGACTTGTACTTCTTGGTGAACAGACCTACGGCGTGTGTCCTTTCCTTCCAGCCTTGATTCCTACATTCCCAACTTCTCCTTAAATCCAATGCCTATTTCTCTTGGAATTATTGCTAAAATACATTTCAGATGTCTTCACTCTTCCACTATACCCCCGTTCAAGCTGCCACCAGCCCTACCTTCTCCCCAAACCTCTCCCCAGACTCCTAGCCTCCCTGCACCTCTAGTCCTTGCACTCAGGTCCCCCTGTGACTCCTCTGTTTAAAACCCTTCAACCCAGAATAATTACAGGATAAAATCCCAACTTTCACCTGGGCTTGTGGTACCTGACAGCTTCATCACAAGCCATATGACCTTTTCTTTCTCTCACTTCTCTCTTCTAACCTTATTCTTGCCTGTGTCAGAGTTATCACAGCTGCTCCTCCCACTGCTCTTCACCTGACTAACCCTCAACTCAGCTGGAGACTCTGTCCTAAAGTCCCAATCTAACCTATGCCCCACATGTTATTCTCTTTGACCTCAGTCTGTCCTTTCCTTCATGTGTTTATCAGTTTGGGGTATGTATGTGTGTATGTGTCTTCCACTGAACCATGAACTGCAAAAGGTACTGAGTCTTTTACAGGGCACCCCAATGTGAACTGGGCTGCTGTTTGTGAAGCCTCATCCTCACTTAAAATTCAGTTGTGCTGCAGTCAATAATGGGTTTATTTACAAAAAGGGAAAACAAAAGGAAACAACTGAAGGAAAGAGAGAGGGATACAAAGTAACTGGAATATCTTACCAGCTCCGGCGACTTGGAGCTGTGATAACAAACTAACTGAAAACCCTGAGTCAACTATCCCTAGAGCTGTTTCCCAAGTGGAGAGAGACCATTGGACAAAATGGCTCCCTATTTATTCCCCAAAGTCCCAGAATGCCTGCTTAGCCCCACCCTTGGGTCCTCGCAGTTCTCTCCCTGGTACTGCTGGGAGTTGTAATAGGGCATAGAGTCCAGAAAGCTGGGGGGTGGACTCCACAAATTCTGTAGAGTTCCTTTAGGACATCCTTCCCCTTAACAAGTCTGTTTTGTTCCCAGTTTGTCTTGCACCTGGAACATTGAGTGCCATACAGGCACACAGGAAGTTCTCAGTCATCTTCCTTGTCATTAAATATAATGGGAGGGGACATGGAAATGGCATCCCAAATCACTGATGTCACAACAGAAGATACCAATAGTGTGTGGTTCTCAAATGTGCTAAGTATTGCAGGAGTATGGGTACCGTGGCAGTTCTTTTTTGCCTTGGGTGAGGAGATTCAGAATCAGGATCCTACAGTGTCTTTCAGAAGAACCAAAGCTAAGGGCAAGAGTGTGAGATCGAAGAGAGTCATAGATGGGCCCTGCCTCCCTCCCTTTCTGCCTTTCTGCCAGTCCCTCCACCCGCTCTGCTTATTCTGGTCTGACCACACAGGTAATCCAGGACAAAATCTGACGAAGTTATATTAAGGGAAAAGGAAAAGAAACTACTAGAAATTGCTACCCTGTGTCTCCCACCTATTCATTTGCTACCCTGGATGCATCCTGAGCTTTCATGCTGGCTCCTGCAGAGAAATGACCCAGAAGTTATGGTGAAGGGAAAGACATTGAAGGGGGTGTTGGGTAATGGGGAACCTTTGTGTCCCCAGCTTTATTTATTTATTTTATTAAAAGCAGTAAACATTTTTGGCAGAGCCTAAAAAGCACTCTTCTGTCTGTGATGCTGCCGGTGAAAGGGCAGAGGCCCCGGAAGAGCAGGGCAAAAATAAGAAAGACAAGCCTGTCCAGGCCTGAATAGGCCCAGTGTTCACAGGGAGAGTGCTGTAGGGGACAGCTCTGCTGCCAGCCCAGAGACACTGCCAGAAGCCAGACCTAGGCAGTGCTTCCTGCATCCTCCTTCCCCAGGAATGGAACTCCTGATTTGCTGACCTGAGGCAGGAGGAACCTCCAAGTACATTTTCCTGTAAAAATATAGCTACACAAAATAGTTAGGAGTAGCATGCTGTAGGTCGACTGTGGACACAGTTATATGTACTCAGCATCAAGCACTATGCTGTGCTTGATGTCTGTGCTTGTGTTACTCCATTTGATAATCTAACAACACTGTAAAAGGTACAAGCCCATTTCACAAGGGAGACAACTGAGGTTTTGAGGTTAAGTACCTTTCCTGAGGTCATCCAGTTAGCAGGTGGTAGCTTTCAAACTAAAACCCAGGCCTGATTCCATATTTTGATCCACCATGTGCTATCAAACAATGATTTATTAAATTAGTGCCTGTACTTAACTGAATGTCTCAAGGTCATTTGCTGTCTCATTTTCGGTTACTTTTTCTTCCATCACTATACATTTATCTCTTTTGAAATGATTTTTTCTTTTTTTGACATGTCTCTAAGTGAGATAAAGTGGACACTTTAACATCATTTTGTAAATAGATATTTGGTAAATGCTTGCATAAATACTGCTGCTATGACCACAGTGAAAGGAAGATTCACAAATTGAACTTGTTATTACATTCTGAAGTCAGTATTTTCTTAGTATCCCATTTCTATTTAAAATTTTATTTTCTGCTGAAAGGAAGAAGATTTCACTTCCCCCATCAGCTGTCCTCTGCCTCTGGCTTCGGCACCTTCCAAGCCTTGAAAAAGCAATACTGCATCTTTTTGAAAAGCTATTCTCTGATGAGAGAAATGTTCTGAGAAGGATCGAATGCTTTGTGAAAGAATCATTGCTGGTATGTACTGGGCTCTGATGAGGAGAAAAATCCTTAAAATGTGGGATACTGGATATTATATCTTCTGATCTTAGCAAAGGGTAAAATGTAAAGAAAAGAGCCATTGCAACATTTTAAAGTAAATGTATATCTAGGTTTTATTCTAAAAATATCTAAGTGGGAGTTGGCCGAACAGAGAGGGGGGTAGGGTTGGTGGTTGCATACTTAGGGTGTGTGTGCAAGTGGGGAGTGATTCAGATTTACTTGATTATTACACCTTATATTGCCTATTCAGAAGAATTGACATTTGGACAATGGTTTAAAGCAATTTTATTTCCACATAAAAAGTAAGTCAAACTTTTCACTAGAAGGAAAAAAAAAAAAAAAAACCTCAAGGGAAGCAAAACAAAATCGAAGAAAAAAAATAGTTAAAGCACAAAGAAATTTGTAAATTTCTTTTGGTGTAAGCCTGCCAGCCTTGACCCCTCTGTATAATGGCTCTTAGTCCAGCTGACTGGCCTGCTGCCCTCTGTCATATTCAGGCCCTCTCAGGCCAGGGAGCCCCTCGTCTGATCCACTGTCAGGTGGGCCCAGGTTCATAGACAGTCCTGGGAACCTGAGCAGCCCAGGTATTTTTCCCTCTGTGGGAGGCAGTTCAGAATCAGAACAGGAATAAAGGCCAGTGTACCCCAAAAACTGTCAGTACCATGCTCCCTGAGAGTCTGTCTGACAAGAATCTCAGTCAAACAGCCCTCAGGTGCTCAAGGGTATCTTGAGCCCTCAGGTGCTCAAGGGTATCTGTAACTTGAGGGAAATTGTCACGGGGATATTCTTGTACAGATGGGGGAAAAAATAGTTTAAAGAGAGATGGTGAACAGATCTTAAGTTGGTGACTAGAAGCTGGGCTGGAGCACACTCCTCCTTCCCTTCCCCCCAGGCTTAGGAGGTAGCTCTGTGTGTGCAGTGCTCTGAGTTTGTTGGAACTTGGTATTTTCCTTTTCACTTGTTCTTTCAATGGAGACTATGTATGCACGAGGGTCATAATCAAATCTGTTGTCTTCTTCTTTTATCCCATTTCTCTGTTTTGGTTCTGTTATTCATCCCTACCATCTGTCCATGGCTATGGCCATGAGTGCTTTCTTTCTCCATGTTGAGGGGGCTTCTCCTGGTAAATGTGGATAATGCCACACCAGAGCTGTGCTGCTTTACCTATATTACCTTAAGGCACAAACTGAACCCAGCTGATCAGGAAGTTTACAGTGTTTGGTAAGGGGAAAAAAGGGAGAAAGGAAGACATGTAAAGATCAAGAAAGTCTGAAGAGGGTTTCTTTAAGAAAAATTACTACTTCATCATTCAAAAGTTGCGTTTTTTTAATGATGGATCTTAAATAAGGCAAAAAATAAAATGCACCTTATTTTAATATAATTACAGTAAAATTCAAAATAACAAATGCTTTTGAAACCTCCTGGTAGCCTTTTCTAAGTATCACCTTTATTATCAGGAGATGTCTTTGTCTATAACTTAAATGTATATGCTGTAGTTGAAGTGAATTTTCTCTGGTCCTTAGCAGTCGCAAAATAATGTAACTGAGCTGTTTCCTTGTTTTCAAAGTTCTTGTTGAATTTTCTTTAAGTCTTCCCCCTGTGAAATACTCCATTTGCATTGACTTTCAGAATTGGTTTAATGCAGCAGCCTATGTTGGGTCCTTGTATTGCTTCCCGAGCCTTCCCCATGCCCATGTTGCCTATGACTCTTGGGCAGCACATCAGTAAGGATAGCCTGTCGTTGTCATGGGAGAGAGAGAAAGTAGGCATTCTCATTAAATAGCTCATTGTCTGACTTTTAGTCTCCAGTTTATAGCTTAAAATAATCTTCCCAAACAGCTTCACAGTCAGTTGATTTACGAAAGCCTTTACCAGGATCATGTACATAGAGATACAGAGCTTCTATTGCGAGTATAGGGATTCCAGAGGGTGTTATGTGGTTTAATTTATTGTGGCATTGGCAGGATATGACCTTTATGGGCCTTACAGTTCAAGGAGGCAATTAGAATACAAAGCTGGAAGTCCCTGATTGCCATAGGCTGTGCTCCTCAGGTATCCTGGACCAGTAGTGCCTGACAACCACGTGCAAGAACAAGCCTGTGATATGATTGGGTGATTAGGAGGGGAACCTGAAGAACCTGCTTCCTAATTATATCATCAGACTCATTATCACAATATAGTATCTCAGTGTTGTGACAGGGCTAGGCAGGAATATCAGCAAGATCTCCAAGACTCAGCTAACGGGGCTGTTCTTTCCTCCCGACGAAACTTAATACCTATTACATTAGAGTTGGATTCTGAGAGTAATTAAAGTGTGATGGTCTAGGTAACATGTATTTTATCTGGAGTGTTGTTAATTATGTTTCCATCTCTTGGGATTATTCAGTTAGCCCTGGAAATTCAGCAGTTACCGAGATGTTGCAAAACAAGTGTGATAAAATAAAAATAAGTTTTCCTCAATCTTCGGTTGTCATGGGCTGGACTACTCCCCTCCCCAAGTACATGCCACATTTGTTGACTCCTAAATAAATCACTTTACTAACCTCATTTTGTCATTTAGTGTGTAGACTGACACTTTTCAGAAGCACATGGTCTTGTGTCTTCTTTGACACACCAGGCACTGGGAAGACCATAATCCATAGCATCTTGCCAGTTATGCAGCTTTCTTAATACTATTTGTTACCCAAGGCTGACCCAAAATCAGAAGGATGTTCTGTTTTCCAATTAAAATTCCATTTGCAAAGGGCCCTCCTTGTCGCAACAGGTGAGGACACAGTCCTGCAAGCTAGCCGCAGCAGCTTCAGTGTGAGTTCAATCCCCAGCCCTCCCTGGAGGTGATCCACATGGTGCAGCAGACCCCTCCTGACCTGCCCACTGCTCCCCTCATGAGTGTACTTTGTCTCTCTGCCTGTTCTGCTCCCCACTCTGTCTCTGGTGAATCCTCTCACCCCCTGCATCTCTGGCCTGTACCCCAGTTCTGTATTCATAAATAAATAAATCTTTTTAAAAATGCCATGTGCAGAATTTGGACAACTGTTGATAGTCCACATTTGAATGAAAAGTGCCAGTGGGTGGCAAGGTGGCACTGTGTGTGGCTGCCCTGTCACACACCTGGTGCCCAGCCCTCCCACTCACTCCTTCACTGGCTGACTCCACATACTTCATTTGGGCCCTAAAGCTGTATGCTAACTTTCTTAGATGCCTCTGTAGAAGAGCTGGGAGCAGACGAGGGAGGAGGAGGGAAGGAGGCCAGTTTGGTTTTGCTTTTTTGTTTACTCAGAAAATTCTCCTATGTTCTCTTCTATCTGAAATCTTCAATGCCCAATTAAAATTAGTTATCAATATTGTCAAATATGCCTCAGTAAAGCTGGGGATGAGAGGGGAAGCTTGTTCTTTACCTAATAAAAACTTAAGACTAAAGCATGTAGCTACCTACCATGCTCCTTGACCTCCCTGGTATTTGATCTTTCTTTAATTGTCCAGGTAGCAATCATAGCCACTTCAAAAAGAAAAAGAAATTTCCTTTACACAGAATTCCAATCAGTTCCCCTTTAATGAAAGATGATACTGAATACTTAACTTCACACTCTAGATTTAATTCAGTTTCTTTGCTTGAATAATCTTTTATTAAAGTTCTAGAGTTTTCTGTGTTGTCATGTATCACTCTTTTAAGCATTTATTTCTCAAACTCTTAAAGAAACTCAACAGAAAGCTGAAGTAGAGGACTGAGCAAATTAGCTTTTTCTTGTGGCTGAAAGGTGCATCACTGACTGAGGTTGCATTTTCCAGCAGTGACCTCAAGGGGGCACCAGATACTCTAGGATTGTGTGGGGAGGGGAAGGGAGGGAAAAAAAAGGGGGAGGAAGGGAAGGAGAGGGGAGGCTGGACAGGGAGACAGGCCACAGATTGCAAGTTCTGTTACCTGTGTTGAAAATGCCGGACATTGCAACCTCTTAGAGATGAGTGGGGAGATGAAAACAAAAACAGCAGTGACCCATCTAGAGTTGTGGCCTCGCCAAGGCTGAGAGCAGAGGAGTAGCAGGGGCTGAAGGCTCTCTCCTTTCTGGCTGCATAGGCTACCTGGATAGGCCACTCAGTCAGGCTAGAAAGTGGAACTGCAGATCTGGGATCTTGTTAAATATCCAGAGCCTGCGTGACTGCATCTTAACACTGTCAGATAATGTGGATAAATTTAAGGCTCACTCCCCCCACAAAAAAATACAGTTTGTACTTGTTAAGGTCTTCTTTTTTTTTTTAAGCCCAGAATGACAGATTAAAAAGAAACTTGAATGTTCTGAAACAGAATAGATCCTAAAATGTAAAAGGGATATTTTCAGTTTTTTTATTTTGAAAGTAGGTTAGAAAAATGTAGAGGTACCTTAGTTTACATTACAGATGTAAAGGTTTATTTAAGTAGATTTTCAACCAAGTTTTTGAACTCAGTAAAGAAGTTTGCTATTGGAATGCATTTTATGAAGAATCATTTCTTTAAGAAAAGAATATGTACATATATTAATAAAAGGATTTCTGCCTGTCAAGGGCCAGTGGCTCAGAAGGTTGGGTTACAAGAGTGGGGTTGCTGGCTGGTGAGGAAGCTAGAATGAAAGCTTCTCATCAGCTACTTATTTTTTAAAAAATGTGACCTGACTATTCCTGAGTAAAATGTAAAACTATATTAAAATAGACTGAGAGAGACTATTCCAGGCTCCCTGGGCTTCACTTTCTTGTCTCTCATCTGCAGTGTCCCTTTTTATTACTTATTTATTTATTTATTTATGGGAAAAGTTATCTGTGAAGGAAGATTTTAATAAAGGCTGGAGAATTGTTTTCACTGTATTTTTTGCTTAAAAGACATTCACTTTAGTCTTTGAATTACCTCAAATCATCTATAACATCTGCTTCTAGACTGTGTTCTCTTTTTCTATCACTTTCTGGATTATGTGACCTTTTCCTCTTTGCCCTGTGTTCTCTTTCTCTATCACTTTCTGGGTTATGTGATCTTTTTCCTCTGCCCTATGACCTCACATGCAGAGAGAAACAAAAATTGCAGGAAAAAAGAAAAGACTTGTTGAAAATTCTGTTTTCTCAGGCCTCTTGCAAGTAGCAAATGGCTTATAATAATCATTGACAAGCTGGGATGAAAATAACAGACAAGACATCAAGAGCAGAGAGCAAGCATCAGTGTTACTGTATGGTTCATGATTCCCCATGGCGACCTTAACACGCCTCACCTCTCCCACACACAAGCCTAGGAAACATGGCCCCGGCATATTGCTCTTGTGTTACTTTGTCTGCCTGTGCTTCAATGTTGAGAGATGGAAATAGGTTGTCCATTGAGGACGAGCAGAGATAAACAATGCCATTCAGGGACACTGTGGGAGGAAGGAAGGGGACACACATCCAGCAGAACAAGCTGCTCCTCTTGTTAGAAAAGAAAGCCAGAGTCCAGAGCTCATCTTCCATAAGTTCTCTGGCAATTAGAGAAAGAACTGGGGGAACAAACATGAAGGGGAGGAGGTAGGGGGAAAAAACAGGCTGTTGATGGCCTCCCAGTGCCATAGTTTTCCTAGACTTGAAATAATCTGTACATGGAAATCATTAGGCCAGATGGAAAAGAGAAGAACTTGAGAAGAAACAGATTTTGGTAGGATGGAGAAACACAGACAAACAGATGGAATCTAAGAAAGACTTTCTTTCCTCATTTTTGGAGGAAAGACAGTTGTGGGGCTTCAGAGCTGGGTATGCAGCACCTGGTTGTATAGTGGCCTGTGGTGTGTGTTATTACAAGTCCCCATTTCACAAATAAGAGAATTAAGATGTTTGCCTTTGCCCTTATAAGGATGTTGGAAAGATTTAGGAGGGCAATTTATGACTTCCAAGGAAGCTTAAGGCTTTAATTCTATTTGGAGGACTCTCTTCTTAAGAAAAACAGCTTTAAGTTTGCTTTTGTCACTTGATGTCACTGGGATGGACACTTGCTGGCCTATCAGCACTTGGGGTTTCGTGATGGGACTCACTGACCCTGAAATCATGTGCTTGGGAAGTAGAAATAGTCTCATTTAAAAAACCATCAGTAAAGGCTGTGGAGGAGAAAGAACTGTTCACAGCCCTGGGGCGGCAGTCTTAAAACCAAACTCTGCCATTGCTGTTTCTGCAATGCTCCCCTGCCACGTGACAACCTCTCTCTTAAAAACTAAACTAGTCAACTAGTCATGGAACAACCAAAAATCTGAAATATTTCAACAGAAAAGAATCTTAAGAGGAGAGTCCATCCATAAATATGAAAAGAAAGGCAGATTCTACATGGTCTGGAGATGTTTAAAATGTTTGATTTGATTTGCATGAAAGAAAAGCATGTCCAAGCTCTAGTCCCCTTTTAACAAATTGGATTAGAACTTTCCTTGCTTTGTGGATCATCCTTTTAATTTTGGAAACCCTGTAATAGTACTAACGAGTCTTACTAATACTAAGTTTCTAGATTGACTCTGGAGAAGTTAAAACATTTAGAACAAAAGAAATTTGCGATACGCAATTTTAGTCTTACGTACTCTCACTGAATTTTCAGTCTCTGTGTATCTATCTGCAAGTGGGCAGAGGCCATGCTGTTTGGTTTTAAACACTCTTACTCAAGAGACATATTGTCGATACATAAAAATGGAAAAATTGTTCTGGCAAATTTGATAAATCACATTGATTCAAACAGGCAGCTTGTCTTTCCCTTCTTGTGTTATATTTCCATTGTGAATACACAAAAGCTTTAATATTTGTTGCCTATATATCCATTGACATCTTAGTAACTCTTACTACTTACAGTGAGATTGAGAAGGGGGATTTAGCTGATTCGTGTGAGATAAAGCCAAGAATCAACCTGCTTCTCTTCTGTTGAACCATGGTTCTATTAAATTACTTTCTTAAGCACATAACGAATTTGCCTTTGGGCTTAGATGGTTTTCTTTAAATAAAAATACATATCAGTGAAGATTGGGGAGCATGGGTAACCCCTCTTAAAAGAGTAGAGATCTGCAAATCGCAAATCTCTCTTAAATAACTAAAAGGAAATCAGTCCATCATTTTAACAAGTTATGATGCCTTTGTCTGGAGCAACCGTCATCTCCTGTAATGGTGGCATGTGAGCGCTAGATGGCACACGTTCAATGTTAGAACTGTGAATGCCAACAGTCCTGGGAGTGAGGACAGAAAGGCTGTGGAGACAGATCATGCACTGTTCTTCAACATGGCTCAAATACCTTGAAATACAAAACATCCTTTTCCTCCTATTTCTTGAGGAGACTATAAAAGCATGTTTCCCAAAGCTAGTCAAATCGAGTGTAATATAACTCAGAAACTTTCTGTCTAGATTAACTTACTTTTGATTATACTATAAAATACATTCTAGTACACAAATGGCATTTTCATGTGGCTTAATCTCATGCTTACCTAGTGCCCCCTACTGAACCCCAACCTGGGCTACAGGAGGCCATCAAAACTTGTCACAAAAAATATTCACACAATAAATTGGATATTCAAGGTGATAGTGTCTCTTGGTTTTCATTGATTCTCTTTTCAGTTTAAATAACTAAGCTGATAGATTCATAATGTACTTAGATGTGATATTGCTTGGTCCATCATGGTAGTGGTGGCTGTTTTTCTCAATGATAATTCTAAATAATCTTGTATGTATTACCTAATTAACTGGGATAGAAAGCAATGACCTTAAGGTACTTCCATGTGGGGTGGTCAGATACCAGGCAGGTAGAAGTGGCAACACCAGCATCCTCTGTGACTGCACTATTGCATTCTGGTCAAAGGTACTTTTTAATTTTCTATGACATTTACTGACTTTTTTCTGGATCATAAGAGGAATAAAGCTTGCCCATAATTCCCAGAGAGAACCACTGTTTGTTTATGCTTAGACAGGGAACTTTTTCCTCATATCGGTGATTCTTTCCCTAACCCAAAGGAATATGCACATTTTCTATACATCAGTAATTTCGACAACTCACATGCAAGTCCTTATTGATGAGATGATTGTAATTTTTAACTTTCTTTTGGTCTTTTCATTTATAGCCTGAAGCAGCCTGCCACCCTGCCATATTCAGAATTATTGATGAAATGTTCAGGTAAATCTTCTGCTGTTTCTCTTAACAACTGATAAAAAATTACTTTTTTCTAAATATGATTTAAAATTTTTTGGTAGCCTCTGAAATTAGAGTGTTTTTTTTTTTTTAAGATTTGTTTATGCATACAGAACTGACATACAGGCCAGAGGTGTGGGGGGTGAGCAGATTCACCAGAGACAGAGTGGGGAGCAGAACAGGCAGAGCTGACAAAGAACACTGCTGAGGGGAGCAGCAGGTGGGTCAGGAGAGGTCTGCTGTGCCATGTGGATCACCTCTGGGGTGGGGATCAAACTCATGCTGAAATGGTTTAGCTTCTTGGTGCTGTGCTTTAACCTGCTATACTATCAGGAAGGGCCGAAATTAGAGTTTTTGATGCTCTTCCTGTCCCTCTGAACTTTTTGGTAAAACGCAATGTCAGTATATATTTAAAGCCAGTGGCTTTGAATTAAGATAACTTTCTTCTTTAACCTTTTCAGGTTCTGAAAATAATGGCTTAAAAAGAGAATTGAATTAGCTATTAAATTAACTTAATAGTCATGCAGCATTTTTCTCAGCTCAAAATAAGGGGTAGCAGTGTAATCCCTTCACCACTTGAGGGCTGACTAATCTTTTTAAAGGAATTTTAAGCTAAAGAAAATGAAGAAAAATAAGTAACTAACGCCATTCTTAACAGAACTTTTCTGACAGGCAAAATCAGTATGTGTATCATATTATGTTAGTTTTTCCTTCAAAAACAAGTACTTCTTCAGAAATATATTGGATTTAGAGATTACAGGCTATAAGGAGACCACTGGACATCAGTTGGGTTGTGAATGGCTGTTAACAGGAGACTGGACCTCCCTGGGGGAACCTATCCACCACTAACCACGGAGTGCTTTTAGCCTCCTCGTTGGCACTAGCACCAAGAGTTACCCACCTTTTTACCCTCCTCCTCTTCTTACTCAGCAGTGAGGTTTCAGGACAGATGGGAGACCCTGGAGAAAGGAATTTTTATAACAGCAAATAACTCAACACTTGGTTTACTTTTGAAACATAGCAACTTTAAGTTGAATGAGCACAGAAATAAGAAGGCCAAGAGGTGATTTCAGCTTAAAGCTAGGAAACGTTAAGTTGATTTTTTCTTTTTTTTTTTTTGTTATATAAATAAAAGTCAGTTCTGTGAAAATCCATGAATATCATACCATATAGAGTCCTCCACCATTTTGTCATTCTCCCATTTGGGCAGCTCTTTCTTCACTTGCCAAAGCAAAGGGTCTGTTGTTCTATATCTGGCAAACTGTGCAAATACTTGTAAACAGCATTGAGTCTTATGATGAAGAGCTATACACTGCTTAGTGAAACACCAAGAAAGAGAGATCTGAACATTGTGGTTTTAAAAATATGTAAAAGTTATGCTTTAACACCAGTAGTGAAATCTGATGAGTTGAGGTATTGCTGAGGCCTGTGGCACCAAAAAAATGTCCCCTTTAACAATTCAGGTTGATATGTTTGCTAAGTTAATCATTACATGTGCTAAGATCTGGCTTTGCATCACTCAGGTCTGTCCTCTTGGAAACTGATGGTGCTTCGGCAGTTCTAGCCACTATTCAGGTGTTCACGTGGTGCTTTGTAGAAGCCCTGGAAAAAGAAAACCAGCAGGTTCGTTACACCGCATCTATTATTCACACATACCCCCACCCCCAAAGGGAAAAAAGCCTTTAAAAGTATTTGGCAAGTTACCAGAAATGAACATTTCCGTTTCAGTGATTATGATAGACTTGTTTTGCTGATAGGGAAAGCTGCATTCTAAATGAATGTCCTAGCAAAGTTAAAGCCATTTAAATTAAAGATGAACCATGATAGTTCCTATCTGCTTTATTCCCTACTCCTCAGAAGCCTTTTCTACTGTTGTGTCCAAGAACTCTTTCGCGCTTTTGCTATCTTGGAGGATACCATATCTGAGCCTCTATAGGGCAGAGCAAGGCATTCTGGAATTTATGTGGCATGTACAAAAAGAAACACATTTAGTGCACACAATACTAGATGTTCTTAATTCTTAGATTTTACATTCCTATCAGAGACTCAAATGTGAATTGAATTCCAGGGGAGGAAAGGAAGTAGTGAGGAGACCAGGGAATTTCAGGTAATGGTAGTGGAGGAGCTGGCAATGACAGTGAGCAAGATGGGCGCTGGACAGTCAGTGAGCATGAAGCCTGCCTGGTGCTGCGGGAGAACTCATACCTCAGTGCCATCAGCAGAGACGGGAAGGCTGCCCAGAGCCACGGAGCACTTGGTGACTGTCAGCAGAAACCTTCTCTATCCGTGGGCCTTTGCTTTCTTGGGCATTTTCAGTGGGCTGCATGTCTGTGTGGTGCTTTGCTGTTCATGTGCCCAGGTTCCTGCTGCTTTCTCTGTGTAAGTCATGGTTCCTTGTCATGCCTTCTCTGGTTTGGCTTTGGAGGGCAGTGTTGTGATGCGCAAATCCCACATATCCCTAGGCCAAAGAAACCTCCCAGTTTTTAGCAGATGTTTCTTCTTACAGCAATAATAAATATTTATGATGTATTTTTTCCCATCCTCACTTTCCCTAGGGAAATTAACTAGACTGTAGCAAACAAAGTTATCAATGATACCCAGCCTGGGACTTGGGAATTCTTCTCTGAAAGCACTGGCTGCCCTCAACACTTATTTTGAGGCATAATTTTAAGTATATTTTATAATCTCTTTTACATTCTTTACACATTAGGACCCTTTCCCTATGATTCCTGAAACACATCTAGGTTGGGAGCATAATGGCCGGGAGGGAAGTAGTGCTCTGTAGCATTAGTGTGAATTTGGTTTTCTTATCAGCTGTGTGGGCCCCAGACAACATAGATTTGTATTGGAGTTTTAGTCACTTCCAATTTAGAATGGTATGCTGGCCAGTCCCTAGTAGAAGGCAGGGCAAAATTTCAGGAAAAAAGAAAAAAACACCCTCATCCTGGGCTCAGAGTCTGTATGCACAACAGTTACCATTTGTGACAACATGGATGGAGTTGAAAGGGATTGTGCTAAGCAAAATGTCAGAAGGAGCAAGACAAATACTGGATGCTGTCACTTATATGTAGAATATAGAGAAATCAAACACGCTCAGGCAAAACCAAACTAGTAATAAATCCTAGAAGTCTGTAGAATTGAGACTACCAGAGGGGGAGGAGAAGGTTGGGGCAAAGTGGGGAGAGGGCATTGGTGGTGGCAGACTATGTGTGCCTTGGAATGGTAACATGCACCTGAAAGATGTGAAAGATGTGATTTTATACCTTTGAATCATGTGCAGTGTTGTAAACCAGTTTTACATTAATCAATTAATTAGCTAGCTAATTATGTAAAAACAAAACTGGAGGTGCTTCTGGGAAAGTGTAGATTCTATCTCAACTCAAAAAACAATTAATTAAATAATGCATGTGACTCCTACCTTTGCTAGTACATTTATGTACATCTGTTATGTCGTTTCCCTTCCTAATACTGTTAATGATTGCTTACCTTTCTAACTCATGCCTGCTGTAATCATAGATCCCCAGCATTAATTCCATCAGTCCCTATGTTTAGTCATAATTCTGGATGCATAAAGCCTTGTGTCCTATTGGGCCCATGTATGACCCTCTTTATATGTTCACTCCCCCACACCCAAACAAGACAATGTGTATGCGGCCATGTGCTCATTCTCTCTCCTGTCTCCCAGCCTTTCTCTCCCTGAGTAAGCACTATCTTGAATTTGGGTTTATCATTTGTGCTATCTGAAAATCTGAAAATAATTTGACCACATAGATATGATTTCCTAAACTATATTTTTTCTGTTTTGCTTTTTTTTTTTTTTTGAACTTTTGGTTGTTTGTACTTTATAAAACAAACATCAAACAAGAGTAGCATACTTTGTAGAGTCTTCTGAGCCTTTTCTACTCACCAAGTCACAAAGAATGCTCTATGTTATGTATGGCTGCTCTGATATTGGGAAAGTGTGCCACATTAAAGCTAATTTCTTGTTGGGGGCATTAGGGTTGTTTCCAAGTTACAGTGTATCTCTGAACATTCTGGAAATAAATTTAGGAGTGGAAGTGCTGGTTACCACATATACAAAGGTTCAATTTTTGTAGATATTACCAAAGATGGTTGTGCCAATTTACACTTTCCCCAGCAGTTTATGAGAGAATACGTTAATCTGCATCATTTTCTATTTCCAGCAATACTTATCTTTTGTACTCATTCTTTTCCCCTCCCTTGTTTTACTTGAAGAGCATAGTTCCAACAGTGTGCCCAGTCAGACTAGTAATCCAAAAACTTAAGGGTGTCATGATAAGCCACTTGTTCTGAACTTGCACAGTGATTCAGTACAAAATCAAATCTGTTCAGGTTCTTATTTCAGTATGGATAGTGTACTAGACTAAATTTCTCAACAGATAAAGTTTTTAAATCTAGACAAAATCTCTTTTGGAGAACAACTATAAAAGCAGATGGAAACTAGAGGGAATTTGGCCCTTGAAAAAGGAAAACATATCAGTGATTCTTACAACTTTCCTTTGAGGCTCTCACCTGAGAGATAGAAAAGAGAGTTGAAGTGTCAGCGAGTGGGCAGAGCTAAGGATACACAATCTGATTGATTTGAGGTACAAGCAACAGAGCTGTAGGATGCCAGAGAAACAAACAAAAATGGGACAAAACAAAGCTAGTATCAACTGTGTGGAACATACCAATAAGTACTTTAATTGTGAAAATAGATAAAGCAGTAAAAAGGCAAAAATGTTAGATTGAATGATAAAACAAGACCCAAATACATGTTGTATTTAAGAGACCTATTCTAATTATATAGATAGATGTAAAAGAAAGGAGAGAGAGAGAAGAGATTATGCAAATAATAAGCACAAAGCTGGTAGGACTCTACTAACAGCAGATGGAATAGATTTCAAAAAGGTCATACCACCAGATAGAAAGAAGGGCTGGCTTTTGGGTTTTTTACTTGTTTGTTTTGCAGTAACTTTGGTTTACACCATTATTTGTGTATTAGAAGTACAAGGTCTCTCTTTGTGTTATTGCTACACCACATCTACCACAAAGACAACCTAATTCTACCACCATAGTCCACTGTGCTCTCTCTCCTCTCCCTCTCCGTGCTCTTCTGGTAGCCTCAGTTTTATAGTCAACTTTTTAGAATTCTGCAGTATGACTTCATCCTTTGTTTGATTCTCTGTATTACACATATATGTGACCAAAGAGGGACATTTTTTTTTATTACAAAGTTTATTTTTACATCATTTTGCACATTTTTTTTTTCCATCTCGATTGTAATCCCCACGGGTTTCCCATCACCAAATCACCCCTGTGCCACCATCCGGTATTTTTCTTTCTCTTTCTGGCTTATCTCACTAAGCATGATCTTTTCCAGCTCCATCCAAGTTGCTGCAAAAGACATGTGTTTCTCTTTTTTGGTTGCTGAGTAATATTCCATTGTATATATGTACCACATCTTTCTAATCCAGTCATCTACTTTTGGGCATTCGGGCTGCTCCCATGTTTTTCCAATTGTAAATAAAGCAGCAATAAACATGGGGGTACAAGTGTCTTTTTCAATCAGTGTTTTTGTGTCTTTTGGATAGATACCTAGGAGTGGGATTGCTGGGTCATAGGGAAGCTCCATGTTTAGCAGCTTGAGGAACCTCCAGACAGTTTTCCATAGTGGTTGTACTAGTTTGCATTCCCACCAGCAATGCAGGAGAGTTCCTTTTTCTCCACATCCTCGCCAACATTTGTTGTTGCTAGTTGTTTGAAGATGTACCATTCTTACTGGGGTGAAGTGGTATCCAAAGAGGGACATTTTACAGTAACAAAATGGTCAGTCCATCAAGAGAATACCACTTATAAATGGATATGGACCTAATAACAGAGTTCAGTGTACATGAAGCAAAACTGACAATAAAAGAAATTAATGAGGGACCCTCCCTGGTGGCACAGCGGGCTAAAGCACAGCGCTAAGTTAAAGCCACTTCATCATGAGTTTGATCCCCATCCCGGAGGTGACCCACATGGCACAGCAGACCTCTCCTGACTGCTCCCTACTCTGTCTCTGGTGAATCCTCTCACTGCCCCTGGCTTGTACCCCAGTTCTGTATGCATAAATAAATCGTTTTAAAAAATTGATGAGTCCATAGTCACATAAATATGTAGGAGTAAATTTAGCAAAAGGTATAAAACCTCTGTATTGAAAACCAGAAAATATTGCTGAGAGAAACTAAAGAAAATTGAAACTTATGGAGAGAGAAATCACATTCATGAATTTTTAATATGCCCCTTCTTGAAAATTGATCCACTGCTTCAATGCGATCCCAGTCAAGATTCCAGCAGGCTTTTTAAAAATGAATTTGATAAGCTGATTCTAAAATATGGAAATGAAGAGAACCTACAGTAGCCAGAACATTTTTGAAAGACAGAAGCAAGGTAAAATCTGAGGAGTCATACTGCCTTATTTCAATACTTTAAGCTATAGTAGTCAAGGCAGTAAGATATGGGTAAGAGGGTAGACATAGGACAGTGAAATAGAATATGTCCAGAAATAAATCTATACATGCAGTCAACTGATTTGTGACAGAGGCAATTCAATGAAAAGAGGGTTTTCAATACATGGTGCTGGGACAAGTGGATACCCATGTGAGAAAAAGTGAATTTTTCCACCTTACGAAGCACTGATATTAATTTGCGATCATAATATACTTCAGTTTAAATTTAAAAGTAGGCAAGAGACATATGAAAATTATTCAAAATCATTTGCCGTCAGGAAAAATGCATAGCAAAGTCACATGCCATATCATTTCATAGCCACCAGAATGGCAAAAATCACTTAAGATTGACAATGCCAAATGTTTGCAAAAACGTTTGCAAATCTAGAATATTCATAGATTGCTGTTGGGAGTGTGAAGTGGTACAACCACTTGGAAAACAATATACAGTTTCTTACAAATCAGCACCTACTCTACAACACAGTGTTTCCATTGTTGTGGTGTCTACCCAAGTAAAAGAAAAGCATATGTCCATAGTAAGACATAAATGTGAATGCTAATTACAGCTTTATTCCTAAAAGCCCCAAACTGGAAATAATTCAAATGCCCATCAATGGGAGATTGAATTATGCTATATTCAGAAAATGACTACTTCTAAGCAATAAAAAAAAAAAAAAGAATGACCTGCTTAGAAACATTAACATGGATGATTGTCAGAGAAAATGTTGAACCAAAGAAGCCATATACAAATGAATGTAGATCTTTATGCTTCTGTTTGTATGAAATTCAAGAACGAATCAAACAAACTAATCCCTTATTAAATCAAAATACTGGCTGCCATGGTGAGGTGGAGGGATTGACTGATAGCTCACAGGGGACTTTTTGGGGTGATAAAAGTGGTCAGTGTTTTTCAGAACATAAAATTGTACGTTTAAAATTAAAGCCACAGGCCCTCCCTGGTGGTGCAGCGGGTCAAAGCACTGCACTGAGAAACTAAAGCCACTTCCGCATGAGTTCGATCCCCGC